TTTGAAGAATGTATACCGTACATTTCGCCACCTTCTAAAAAACCAGATCAATTTTGTCTCAAGTCTCACAAGTATCCGTGAGCGTAATATTGTGATCTCCCATGATGCATTGCACGAACTAAAGCTTTTGATTGCTTACAATAAATCCTGATTTCATACAATTCCACTATCATTTCATATGAGCAGTAGCTACATAAAAAACATTAATATATAATATGACAAGACGACTAGAGTTCAGTGGTCATTAATTTAGGAAATATTCCAGATGTTTTCTTGGAACCAGCGAGCCAATAATATTCCGGCGTTTCAATCAAACTTTATAATAGTGGCCAATCAGAACAGGCCAGGAACACGTGTTTGTCTCACTAAACAAATATATATATACATATATATATACATATATATATATATATTTGTTTATATATACATATAAAAAACATTAATATATAATATGACAAGACGACTAGAGTTCAGTGGTCATTAATTTAGGAAATATTCCAGATGTTTTCTTGGAACCAGCGAGCCAATAATATTCCGGCGTTTCAATCAAACTTTATAATAGTGACCAATCAGAACAGGCCAGGAACACGTGTTTGTCTCACTAACAAATAGGTTATTTTGATGAAGTTAAGATTTTCTGAATGGTGCCAGCCAAATCATCTTAAATTGAACACTAACAAACAAAAAAAATGATCTTTGATTTTCACAAAACAAACAGTGCTTATGATTTATTGTACATGGATAATCAGGAAGTTATAAGTACTTAGGCACTGTTGTTGATTAAATGGGATGAGCAAACCAAGATCACTGTAACAAAAGGAAAGCAAAGATTATATTTTCTAAGGAAACTTCCCTTAATGAAGACAACACTATTCTTATTTTGTTTTATAAAGCAATAATACAAAGCGTTTTAACTTACTGCCTAATCTGTACATATAAAAGCCTAACAAAACAAAACATGAAGAAATTAGACTCATCCGAAAGACTGCAAAGAAAAGAGTTAAAGAAGATATTGTACATTTAGATGATATTTATGACAAATACGCATTAGCTAAACTCAAGAAGATAATGAACGAAACAACACATCCACTACATAGTGAATTTAATTTAAACAGCTCCGGCTGAGGTGTCTTTTAATGACCTTTCAATTTCTTCAAAATTCAAGGTATCCCTCTCTTGAAAAGCTAGGTCAGGTAAATTTATCTCATTCTTAAACCTATAGGCTACATAGAGAGAGAGAGAAAAAAGACATAGGCAATATATTATTATATTCCAACAACATTAAGTAGTTGGATACGTCTTTCCACCATGGATCGATAGGCCAGAAGAACGCACTTTCGCACATAAATTATTACGACTCGTCGAATCAAAAACAGTGTTTGTTGAATTTATGTAATTGAAGGCTAGTTGCGCTAAGCCTAGTTTGTCTGATCTGCCAACCTCCTAGGTAGGTTAGCATGCCTTTTGTAAGCCAGGACCCATTGTATTTTGTTAGGTTTCTTCACAGAGGCGGGTTCATCCGAACCCGTTGAACCCCCCACAATCCGCCACTGTAGGCCTAGTAATAAACGAACTTAGCTACATCGAAGCTTTCCAAACTGGGCGGAGACCCAATTTTGTGCCGCCAATATTTTGCAGGGGGCCGCGAAAAAAAGAAGGAAAGAATTACAATAATATTCAACTCTAAGAGTACCATACCTATAAAATGTCAAAGCCACAGCCCCATCCAAATGGAGCTGAGGTACGGTATGGACTCTCTACAGGCTGGATGCTACTCCCTGGACTCCTCATAAATTCCTGGATTCGCCACCACTAATAATGATTGTTATAAAATGAAGTTACAGTATAGGGTTACACCGTGTCGTAAAAAAGTAAATATATTGGACAAGCAATTCTCTGGTTATCTAGGCCTAGCCCGCCTTGTTTTTAAGCCAAATATAAAAGGCCACGATGTAAGTAGAAATCTTGTTTTGACAGTGGGTCGCTGGTGTAAGCTAAGATTATACTGTTTGGTGTAAGACTGATCAGCAACGTGGGTCCCCGGGAAATAAGTTTGGGAGGCACTGCTTCACATTGATGTATAGCAGTTCAATCATGTTGATACAAGGGAAAATGGATTTTTATGATTGTCCACATTAGGCCTATGTATTTTTTTGTAAAAAAAATAAGGATTTTAGGGTATTTTTTAATTATGCACGATCAAGAGTTCGATATTGATATCCTAACTATCGTTTGCAATATTTACACATTTTTGTCAATCCACGTGATGTGTTTTACGTATTTCATGCTGCTTCATGACTTGTTATTCTTCAAATGTGAATTTTACTAACTGTTTACCTTTCTGTTATATGTTGGTGCATAATCTGTATTTTAATGTGATTTGACTAGCTTTGAACCATTTTGAACGCACCGCAATGGATGTGTTTTAAAATAAAGTATAGCCTATATTAATATTTGAAGCCGCAAAGTTTGAGTTCGTTCGACCTTGTGATGATGGTAATAATAATTATTATTTTATTATTAATTATTATCAATAATAACAAACTTCATTCATATTGAACACAGAGGAAGAAATAAAACAGATCGTAATATAACAAGAAACAGACGATAGCATATTCATAATCAATGGCATTAGACACGTTGCAATCATTATATGAGGTTATAATCAGCTTATGAAACCGAATATATTCATCTACAAAATCGACCAAGCAATTATCGTTTAAGAATCTATGAATATCAGTTCTATAAAATATAGTGAAGACGCTTCCTCAAAGGTATATGCATCCATCTACATACCCATTCCAATGGGGTCTAGTCGAATTGTTACCGGATATTTTTACCTGTTAG